CTGAGGATTTGAGATGCATAGTGCAGCAGAGGCTCTGTTCTGAGATCAGCTTTGATGCTTGAGGTACTCACCTATGAATAAAACCCGAGGGACGTACTGGCCATCAGGTGCAAGATTCTTGTCTGTGGTTTCATACTTAAAGAAAACAGAGAAGGTTCCTAGTCAAGGAGGGTATGTTACATATTTTTTCCTTCACCATACTTTGTATTATGAAATACAGCTCAAATACTACATTTTGCAGTTTAAGAACTTCACTGTTTGGGATGCAGGTTTTTAACAGCTGGAATTGCAAATTGGTAACAGTTCATGTTGTTATTAAACTTTACATTGCCCCAAATTCTGAGTTTATGATAACTATAAATGAAAAATACTTACTATGGCCACAACTTTAATTATGGCTAATCAACTCAAGCTAGAGAAGCCATAATTAAAAGCAGAACTTTGTCACTTTCACTTAAATTAAGTCTAACTGGGAAACTTACCACAAGGTTCAGGAGAATGAATTTTTCAGCCAGTTTCTGTATATCTTTGTGTTCAGCAAAGACCTTCTTGAGGGCTAGAGTAGAAAAAAATGGGAAAGAAAATTAAGAAGATGCCATTGAAATAATATTGTCCTCCAAAAAGAAATTCAAACAAACATGAAACTAAATTTAGATTTCCAGTTTACAACTGCAGCAAACAACGATTTTCAGTTCATTCCATTGGAACATGATCCATTCATTTACATTCTGCATTAAAGAGTAATTACAATAGTGCAAAATGTCCCACCTTCCTTCAGAGAGTACAGCTGGCTCTCAAATTTGTCTGCTTTGGTTTGAATTTGAGGATTTGACTCTTCAAACCTCCTGTTCTACTATTGTGGTTTCTGGCCCCAGATCTTAAGGCAGATGATAACACAGCATGTAGGGCTTCAGACTAAAATGTTTGGAAGTGTTTAAATACTTGTATATAGACTCATCTGGAGTTACTGGGACTATGGGTGGATGCAAAGATCTTTCCATGTGGATTGACTTGCAGGAAGCAGGGCCCCCAGATAGATTCAAAGGCACTGGGAAAAGAGCAGTCCCAGTTACCAGAAACCCTGGAGGAACTCAGTTTCAGCCTGGATCGATTTAGTCCCTGTCTGGATTCAGTCTCAATCACTGATGATACCAAGACCTGAATATGGTCTTTCCAACAATTGTTATTTCTTGCTACTGGTCTTGCTACTGATTTTGGCTGAGTGTGCTGTGAACCAAACTCAGATTTTTCAGAGGTCAAACCCTACTGACCTTTGCTCATTTCTGTATCCATTTTGTATCATGCTATACTGAATCACCATTTTAATTTTATTTCTACACATTGGAGAACACCTTTGTGGTACAGTAACTTGAAGAACACTCCCCATGCTTGTTCAAGCTAGCACTTCCCTAAGGTTTAAAGAGAACGGTGGCTGATTTTTTTTTTCTTTTTTTTTCGTTCAAAGTAGCGTTTTCCAGAAAATTAAAATTTATTTTTTTTTTCCCGCCCTCCCGAGTGCAAAAGGATTACCTTGGCTGTGTGGGCAGTCTTCCAAGTGGTGGATAATCATCAGGGGTTTCTGGCTGGAAAAGAAGAGCTGTGGTTAGGAGCAGGGGAGGCTCAGGGGGCTCAGGGGGGGCTCTGGGGAGCGGGGGTACCTGTGCTTGGCCCTGAACAGCGCCTCCTCGTAGGTCTGTGTCCAGATGAGCTGGTCTCCCCAGCCTGCGGGAGGGACAGGGGACACACACAGGGGTCACACAGTGCCCTACAAGTGGGGCCAGGGACCCCAGGCGAGTCCTGCCCTGCCCGCCCCTGCCGGAGGGGCTTGGGGCAAACCCGCTGCC